CAAGTCAATGTAAGGAATACAAAAATCCTCGCAACTGGACCAGTAGATAATACCATGATAAATACGAGAAAAGATTGAAGTTGTCAAAGTAGAAGGCCAACAACAAAGAGGAAGACCCTCCACAGGAAGAAGAGCTACCGGCAGAGCATGCTGGGCATCCCTGCCTGATGTGGCGGAGGCAGCAGGCCCTGTGCCAGGCCAAGACCAGAGGCTGAATTCAGGAGACCAGGAGGCAGAGTGGAGTAGCAGCCCAGAGACTATGAGACTGTGAAGCAGTGCAGCCGGCAAGCTTCCTGGCCCAGAGAGGGAACAGGCCAAGGGACCGCGTGGTGAGAGGCTGAGGACTAGAGAGAGACTTGGCTGCTGACTAAAGAGGGGTGTTGCTGTGGAGTCAGGAGTGGTTTTCCGCTCCTGCCTTTCAGTAACTAGTTAACTTCCCTCCTAAACCCCTTAAGTATGAGTATTATCTGTAAATTCTATGTGAACTCACAGTGGATTATGGATTATCTGTAAATTCTGTGAACATTGCAGTGGATTATGGAGCCCAGCAGAGAAGTAGAGTGTTGCGGGAGGAATGGTTGGGGTCAGAAGAGGGTAAAAGAAGGGCGGAGGATGGAGGCATGCCTGACCTCTGCTGTGTGGCAGTTGGCCTTGGGTTGGTGTGGAGCTAGATTCTCCTCCTGGTTGTAGAAGGACGCATTTCTTCCCTGCCTATATGCAATGTTCTCTCTCACTGGGAGGCACAAATGGCAAAGTACAGGCTGGGTGGGTTTGGGTCATCTTATAGAAAAGGCCTTGATTCAGATATGTGTTTTCCAAGTTCCCCAGGGTGGCCCAAAGATATGACCTCTGCACCTTCTCTGTGCTATGGCTCAGAGCTCCACCAGCCCAGGGTGGGAAATCTTTGCCTGAAGATCTAAAGCCACCAATGGGCTAGGGTCACAGCCCCACAGCCAGGGAAAGCCAAGTCAGGACTCCCCCAGGGTGGTCTGGCTGCAGCACCGAATATGATCCTGAGATACTGTCAAGCCTCCTGCCCGCCTGCACCCCCTAGTCCAGCAGCACTTTTCCAGTTCTGTTCATAGTATAGGCACCAACATCAGCCCTTCTCCCACAGGGTAGGTGGTTCAAACCTAGCGGCTGCTCTAAGGGAGAAAGGTGAGGCTATCTACTCCCATAATGGTATAGTGTCCTAGAAACCCTAAATAGGGTCACTCTGGGTTAGAATCAACTTAATGGTAGTGGTTTGGGGGGGTATATAATTAGTTATATAGATGTGAATCCTTCGGGCACCATTCTGGTTTTATGCAGATGGACCACTTCATCCGGATCATTTGTCTGTGTCCTGTTTAAGACTTAATTAAGGGACCTCTATAGAATACCTTTGAATTTAGTCTTTTTTCCTCCAGAACACTGTTCACATACCTACTCCATGCCTGCAGGCTGAGAGAGCTCAGGATTTGTTTGGCGTCAGTGCTGGCAGAGGAAGGGAATATAGAGTTGAGTCTGCTTTACCTCACTCTACAAAAGCTTCCTTCAAAGCTCTTCCTGTTGCTGACGAATGCCAACCCTCAGCAGATTTACCGAAGAGATGCTCATTGGGAATCAGTTTGCCTGAAAGGAGACACTGACCATTCTCAACGTGAGGAGAGATGCAATGCTTGAGAGATTTGGAATCAGAACTCTGTCATCTCCTGGCTGTATCCTCGGGAGGGTCACCTAATGCGTCTACTAATCAGAAAAGGGGAGTGATGGTACTTGCCACCTGCCTCTATGGGTGTCCGTGAGGACCAGGTGACACATAAGAGAAAATGCTTTACAAATGCTTGTTATTGCGGTCTTGACCGTGCAGTTGGCTTTGGGGCCCTGGGGTGTCGAACTTTTCAAAGCAGTGATGAAGCTACGCAGCAGAGTACGGCCAGCCAGGGAGAAAGCAGCCAGAGCTTCACTTCTCAGGCTACACGAACGAATGAGGTTTCTCACTGTGGTTGTGGCTGTCGGTGCCAGTGAGTTGGTCTGGACTCCTATGCACTCTATGCGCAACAGAACAAAGCCCCACCCAGTCTGGTGCCATCCCACAAATGTTCTTAAGTTTGGGCCCATTGTTGCAGTCACTGCGTCAATCCATCTTGTTGAGGGTCTTCCTCTTTTTGCTGCCCCTTCCCTTTACCAAGCATGAGGTCCTTCTCCAAGGACTGGTCTCTCCTGACAACCTGTCCAAAGAAACAAAGTCTCGCGGCCCTTGCCTCTGAGGAGCACTCTGGCCGTACTTCTTCCGAGACAGATCTGCTTGTCCTGTTATCAGTCCGTGGCACCTTAAACCTTCTTCTTCAGCATCATCGGTCAAACGCACCGATCCCGCTTCAGTCTTCCCTAGTCCCTGTCCACCTTGCGCAGGCCTGGGAGGCGATGGAGAGTCCCATGGCTGGGGTCAGACCTACCGTAGTCCTCAAGGGAACATGCTTGCTCTTCAACACTCTATGAAAAGTTCTTAAATCCTTTTCATCGTGCTGCTGGGCCATAAAGCACAATGAGCAGCTTCTTTCCCGGCAGTCCACCTTTCTCAACTGGGCAGGCCAGGGCTGTCCTACAGCACCCCACCGCCACCACCAGCAGCAGCTGCCCTCTGGTCAAATCCCAATCACGCAGTCCCCAGGGATGTCCCAGTAGAATGACGCTGCCCAGGGTTCTCAAAGGCTGGTTTTTCAGAAGTAGCGAGGTAAGAACTTGAACTGCCACGCTTTCAGCTAGCAGCCATCCGAATAAACGGCCTGTACCATCCAGGGCCTCTGTAGCCTTATCATCCTATCTTTCCACTCGCCGATCATTCCCAAGTGCTAATAAAACACATCTTCTATCAACACTTTCCGATGCAAATGAAGAAACCATTAGTGAACCGATCTTTAAAAACAAAGTTCCCAGAAAGAAGGGATCATAAATTCTGCAGAAGTCATAAACCTTAAAAATGTTTTCCACGTGTCCCACTGATTGAAGTTTTCCAGTGGACTTCGCCACATGGGGCCACAGTAACAGCCACCCCTGCAGCGCCAGGGAAAATGGCACTTTGGGACAGTTTCCAAGTGACTCTGCCCAGGAGAGGTTGTTTTTTCCCTGGATGGCATTGTTTTTTTTTTTTTTAAAGTAGATCCTTTTCTCTCGGATGCAAGAACAAATGAGCTCCCTGCTTTCTGAGGTTGCCCTCTGTTCTCAGAAGAGGAGTTTTCTAAGACACAGCTGTTCTCCTTCCTCCCTGGGACTTCTGTTTGGGGGTCTGGAGTGGGTGCTTCCCGAGAACGGGTGCTCCGTGTCTCCAGAGGGCCGGGTTCCTCTTCCTGGGGAATTGGTGAGGAGTCGTGTTCATAGACGCTTTCTCTACTGCTGGAAATTGAGAGTCACTTAAAAAGAGCTCTTTCCTATGGTTTCTACCCATCAAAGCACGCCAGCCGAAGAGGACAGGGGCCTCTGGGCGGTGTGTTAGGCAAGACTGGACACCGCTTACAAGATCTGGAGGCATGTTTCCAGGTTTCCGAGAAGAGGGTGGAACCAGAGCCATGGATGTGGTTCCAGAGTGGGATTCTTGTCATCCATGCAAGAGACCAGGGTTTGCTTCCCAGTCAGTGTTCCTGCTGTGCAGCCACCAACCTTTGTTGGTGGAAGCCTGAGTGGTGCTATGACGCTGGACGTCTAAGACAGACTGGGGAGAAAGATGTGGGGGTGTACTTCTGAAAACCCCATGGATAAAAATGTTCCGATCCCCAACAGACCCCGAGCATAGCACCGGACCAGGCAGTGTGTCGTTCCCTTGTGGGTGGGGTTCACGGTGAGTTGGGGGTTGACAACAACAGAGTGGAGCCTGTGTTGGGACCCAAGGCTCCCGCGAAGATTCTTAGACCCACAGGAGAGGTGAGGAAACGGAGGCGCTGAGAATTTGAAAGACTTTCCTGCAGTTGAAGAGGGGACAAGACAGCCTCCGCGGAGGTGGGAGAAGGATAGAGACCCAAGTTGGCTTCCTGAGACAAGCTGAAGCAGGCCCTGGGGTTGGAAAGAACTCAGGGAGGATGGGAAGGAAGGAAGAGAGAGCTTGTGGAGTGTGGGGGTGCAAGTCAGGGGAGGGAAGGAACTCCTTAAGAGAGAAGAATGTAGCTCCAGGATTTGGGGAGATGCTTTCTTGCAGAAGGGCTAGCAGCTACTACTGAACACAAAAGACGCCAGGTCCACGTGTTGGTCTTTCCCCATCACTGGGCCTCTTGGCCAGTTAGTCAGCTATCTACTTCTAGCACCCCCATGGAGCAAAAAATGCCTCTGCTTCTTGGCATTCCACACCATCCAAGGAGAAACTGTATTATGTTTGCCCTCTCCTGGGTACCCCTCACCCTCAACACATGGAATTCCAATGGACAGAATACCCAGGCAGCCTAATACGCTGGAATGAAACATTCTCTCGACTCTAACTCATCCCATCACTTAAAGCAGGGGTCCTCAAACTATGCCCACGGGCCACATGCAACCCACTGAGGACATTTATCCGGCACACCAGGTGTTTTTGCCCAGTTTGTTTTTTTACTTCAAAATAAGATATGTGCAGTGTGCATAGGAATTTGTTCATAGTTTTTTTTTAAACTATAGTCCAGCCCTCCAACGGGTCTGAGGGTCAGTGACCTGGCCCCCTGTTTAAAAAGTTTGAGGACCCCTGACTTAAAGTGTCCCTTCCCCAGAGAAACCTCTCCGAGCTCCTTGCCTAGGCTAGGTCCTTGGGTCACAGGCCCCACCATCCCCTGCACGCTGCTTCCATTATTCTGATCACAGCAGCAGTCAATTACTTATTTATTCAATTATATGTGCAATGTCTGACTTGGGGGCCACAAAGAGCAAGCCCCAAGGGAACTCTGCATCTGTCTTGGTCTTTGTCCCACCATGGCAACATAGAACAGATACTTCAAAGTGAAGAATGATTTCTAAAGATTTCCCCCAGGAAAGGGCCACAGACCAGCAGCACTTACTGCACAACTTGTTCTGGAATACTGAGGTCAGCGGCTCAATCTGGCTGAAGTTGGCCACCAGGAAGACGTGGTCTTTGTGGGGCTCGCTTCCGATGGCCTTCAGCGTGTTGAGGTCCACCTGGCCCACGCCAATGGCAAAGATCAGGATGCCTGTGTCCCGTGCCTTTGCAGCCACCTCAGCCACTGAGTCCTGCGGCCTCCCATCTGTCACGATCATGATGACCCGGGGCACGTTCTCCCTCAGGGGACGGGCCCCCTCTGCTTCTGAGAAGGCGATGTTCAGGGCATACTGGATGGCCAGCCCAGTCATGGTGCCCGTAGACAGATGCCTCATCCTCCTGACGGCACGTTCCACCTCAGACTTCCTCTTGAAGGTCTTGAGGGAGAACTCGTTCTTGACAGTGCTGCCATACTGGAGCAGGCCCACCCGGGTGACGTCAGGCCCAATGTCCAAGAACTGCAAGATGTCCACAATGAACTCCTTGACCTTTGCGTAGTCTAAGGCGCTGACACTGCGTGAGCTGTCAATGATGAAGACCAGGTCCGCCCGCTTGTTCTCACAGGAGCTCCCTGGGGAAAGAGAAGAGTCAAAGGCATTAGAAGAGTGTCAAGGACAATTTTCACCTCGCATGGGGGAAAAATGGTTCAATCCCCAGTCAAGCACCTCATGCCTAGCCGATCTTCTCTGTTGGTGAAGATACTGCGGTGGCTTATGTGGTGCTGGGATGCTGAAGTGGTTTCAGGGGACCTTGCAGGCTAAGCTGGACTGCTGACGACTCCTGAGAATCCACCAGAGAAAACCCTTACAACACCTGGTATGCACGTGCCCGTGGGGAAGGCCCAGGACCCGGCATCCTTCCGCTCCATGTTGCGTGTGGTTGCCGTGAGTTGGGGGTGAGTGGACAGCAGCTAACAACAACAAGGATGAAAGGGCGATGGGTGCTTGTTGGAAATACTGCCTGTTATCACCTTTGATCTTCACGGGGTTTTCTTTCCTGCTCTATAAGTGTATGGCAGGTGATTGTGAGTATTGGCTACCAACAGGTAGTATTTCTTTTGGAAAGATAAATGAATACTTTAGCATCTCGAAAGTTGTCAATGAGCAAAACCCCAAATCGTAAAAGACACCGGGCTCAGTGGTCAGAGGGAGATTGGTGGAAGCCCCAAGACTAGCCCTTAGTCGACCTTCACGTCTGAACTCACTCCCGTGTTAGACTCATCAACCATTTAAGATTAAAGACGGCAGCATTTACCCAAGGCCCAAGTTCAGAGGGTCAGAAGAGAAGGAGGGATGGAAGCGGGAAACCCGGGGCAGAGTGGGGTCCAGAGGGCACACGGGGGTACTACCAAGGATGAGTTGGAACAAAAGGTGTATGAACCGCTGAATGTGAACCTGATGATCTGCTCTGTAAACCATCACTAACTCACAATAAGTGGTTTTTAAAAAGGAGTTGTCAGTGAAGTTTTTCGATGAACAAACATCTGGTTGGGAGTAAAGTTATTATTTATGGCTTGGCACATAGGCTGACTGAATACCATAGGGAACATAAAAGCTTAGGATGAGACCCAACTTCCAGGGCCTGATAACCTACCTGGGCAGGCTTAACTAACGAACAATGAAAGAATACAAATTATGCATGGGGAGGAGTGCCGCTGGCAGAAAATGCATAGTGTATACGTCGTTTGCTATGTAACCCCAGCAATAGCTATCGAGAGAAGAGGGTTATTAATCGGTTGGAGCCAAGGAAATGGGACAGGAAGGTACTAGCCTCCATGGGTGGGCGGGGTTTGGATTGGGGGAAAGAAACAGAAGGAAAGGGGAAGATGAGCAGAGTCCCAGGGGGAGTGAACCTGGTGGATCACAGGCTGGATGAGGCCTGGCTCACAGCCGTCGAGCTGAACTCTAATGCACAGCAATGCTACAGGACAGAAGAGAACCGCCCGCAGGGTTTCCAACTCTGCAAACCTCTACAGACTCAGGTTGCCTCCTCTCTCTCCATTGGCACAGCCGGTGGATTCAGCCTTTCAGTGAGCAGCTGAGCACTTAACGACTGCACCACTCAGGCACCTCTGAGGAGGCTTAAAGTGGCGAGAATTGGTAAAAAATTCTAAGTAGACGTCAGTTTGGAGGGAGAGCCAGAAGCCAGTGATAAGAGGTCTTTAAATTCAGCATAGATGGCATAGTGTTTTGGGCTGGGCTGCCAACTGCCAGGTCACTGGTTTGAAGTTGCAAGCTACTCCACAGAAAAAGACGAGGCTTTCGACCTCTGTCAAGAGTTATGGACACCCTCAGGGGCAGTTCTAACCTGTCCTCCAGGGGCGCTATGAATTGGCATCGACCCCATAGCAGTGAGTTTGGCTTGGATTTGGTTTTCCCAAAACACAGCCCCCTCACCCCCAACCTGCCTTTGAGGATGCAGCGATGAGATCCATATAAAAGCGACCTTTGGAGGGTGTTTACAAAGATCTCTCCCAGAACCCTTAGCATCATGGCCTCCCTGGGTTTTCAGAACAAGTACCTGGGAATAGATGAGCACTCCCATTAGATAGATGGGGGGATGGACGTACGCATGGAGGGCTTAAAATATTTCCTATTAATTAATTTATTTTTTAATAATAATTTCATTGGCATATCTTACACATTCTAATATATCCATTCCCATACAATTCTGTTGTTCAATCCCATCAGGTGGGGTTATTCAATCATCGATGCTGTCCGCTCCCCTTTCCTCCTCTTAGCCCCCCTCCTCCCGTTTCCTCAGAAAACCACTGTCTCTGAGGGGTCATCCCTCTTGACCTTCATGTACGGAGCGATCTTAAATATACAAATGAACATATGCAGATCTAGCATGATCAAGGAAGTAAAACACATAAAAACCTCACTAGTAAGGGGAAGAAATGTTAAAGAACTAGACGATAGTTATGTGGTTCATTAGTGCCAAACTGCACCCTGGCTCTATCACTGGATCAGTGTGGCCTTTCTGAGAGGGACTGACCAATCATCTTGCAGGTGGATTTGGGGTCTCCATTGTATCCACACCCCTTCATATCAATTTGACTGCATATTTTTGAGGTATCAAAAGTTCAAAATCAATTGTGTAAAGCACATTTGTACATTCATTGCCCTCATCATTCTCAAAACATTTGCTCTCCACTTAAGCCCCTGGCATCAGCTCCTTATTTCCCCCCCTCTCTCCCCGCTCCCCCCTCCCTCATGAACCCTTGATAATTTATAAATTATTATTTTGTCATATCTTACACTGTCCGATGTCTCCCTTCACCCACTTTTCTGTTGTGTCCCCCAGGGAGGAGGCTATATGTAGATCCCTGTAATTGGTTCCCCCTTTCCACCCCACCCTCCCTCCACCCTCTCGGTATCACCACTCTCAGCACTGGTCCTGAAGGGATCATCTGTCATGGATTCCCTGTGTTTCCAGGTCCTATCTGTACCAGTGTACATCCTCTGGTCCCTAGCTAGTATTTACTGAGCACTTACTAACAGGCGTTTTGCACTTGTTAGCTCAGTTCTTTGTGCACATCAACCTGAGCAAACAGGGACGGGTACTTTCCCCATCTCACAGCTGAGAGAATACAGAGTGGAGGAGCTGGGATTTGAACCCATCTGTCTGAGTGCCCACATTCGTCTGCAGCCTGCATTCTTCACCACCAAGCTCCGAGCATCATGGGGGTAAGAGGGCTTGTGCTTTAAAGCCTGCCGTTGAGTTTGTTTCCCATGCTGCACCAGGACTATGCTGACTCTCTGGGGTCAGTTCTTTCCGTGCCTGGAATCAGGGCTTGAGAGCAATGGGCCAAACTCGTCTGCCAGCCGCCGAGTGCTTCTCCCTGGGAAAAGGCCCATTTGCAGGGTTTTCCTCTTTTCTTAATCCGGTGCAACGATGAAAACAGATGCCCACCTCCCTGAGTGGCAGCAGTCCAGTAACTCGGGCAGCTCCTTGCTCACATTCACCGCACAAGTCCTGACTGTGGGCTCAGGAGGAGCCTATGGGACAGCAAGGATGGGGCAGGTATGAGGGGGAGGTGCCAGTCGCCAGTCCCTGAGGGACTGGGGAGTAGAAGAAACACAGTCCTAACCGTAGGTGAGCACCGGGGTGGGATGAGGAAGGACATGCCTCAGGACACAGAGCTGGGCTGAACTGCCAGGGGTCGAAGCAGCTGATTAAGACGACAAGCTAAAAGGAAAGTTTCTGTCAAGCCCTTAATAGTTTACTGAAATCGTACAAGCAAGAGACACCCAGAGAAGGTGACAGTTCACCCCATATTTCTCCGGGAACAGTATTGGGATAAGGGCCAGAGGCGCATCATAGATGTGGGACTTACTTCTGAGGGAACCCCAAACAAAAGGCTCCTCCAGTTTGACAGACCAGGGCTGAGCTGAGAAGGCGAGCGAGCAGATGACTGCCCTCTGACTACAGACCGGAGGTGAGAGCGGCCCTGTTACGGGACAGAGTGCATCGCAGGACAATGACTGCAATTGTCTGGAGGCCCAAAGGTGACACTTTGTCACTGATCTCTCCCTTGACCCAGTGGATAAAATGGTCCAGGTTCTAATATTCTGCTTTGTTATCCAGGGGGGGAGGGGTTCCCTTGGTGTCAGGGTGTCATCGTTGTTGGGCCGTTTGCTTGCTTTCTGCCTTGATTTTCTAGGATTCTCTAAGCTGAAACCCAGACTAGGGAAGCCTATGGGGAGAATCAGATTGGACAGGCTGGTGGGAAATGGGGAGCGAACAACAACGGGTACACGGAAGAAGACAGGTCCTCGACTGTCTGCACAGCTCTTAGGAAGTAACTGAACTACGGAAAGGGATGAGGTGGAAGTTGTTTGTCTGTGAAATTGTTTAAAAATAAATAAATCCATTAAAGGGGCTGGAGGAGAGCAAGGAGAAGGGCTAGGCGTGGCAAAGAAAGTTCTGGGCATAAATCAGGGTGTCTCCCCAGATAGGAGGCCTCTTCTCCAGTCCCTGAGAAAGAGGCTCCACATGGAGGCAGCTGGGCCAGGAAGGCAGGGAGGCAAAGGTGGGCTGAGACATCGACAGCACCTCCCATCAGAGAGGGCAACGCACAAGTGGAGCATGTAGTCAGAGTGCAGAGGGCTCAAAGCCCTCCCTGCCAGGGGTCCATCCCCGGCCACAGCCACCCTAAAGGACAGGGCAGAACTGTGCACTCTGAGACTGTCACTCTGTAGGGGAGCGGGTGGTTTCAAACTGCTGACCTTGAGGTCAGCAGCCCAACTCATGACCCCCGATGCCACTAGGGCTCCCAGTAATTGCCTGTGATCCTGCCTGAAAATTCACACCTAGCTTTCGAGCCCAGAGCTGGGCTCCTCAAACTGGATTTCAGAAAATGCGATGATGCTTCATAGCAAATGTTCCACAGACAGATGGTTTGTGGGCACTTAAAAAGAGAACCGTGAAAAAGATAAAAATCTAATGATGGAAGCGAAAGAATGCGACAGATTCTAGGACAGCAGAAGAGGGATTGGATGAGGAGAACAAGATTTCCAGGTAGCGTTAAAGCCCTTCTTATTGCTGGTGAGCCCAACATTGAAGAGA